AMAARAAGTTTTCATTCAAATGTATTGAGGAAGACTTACATGGTTCCTATACTCTTCAAAGATTGAAAACTTACTCAAAATGATCCAAGAAAAAAAGAAAGGACCTAGTCCATCCTTGCCATCRGSTTATCAACCATCTTTCAASGTGAACTCTGATGAAGACCTTAACAAGCTAGACGACCAGGCATTAAACATGAGAAAAGCTGCGATGGACATTGATTTTGAAAAACACAGATTAAAACCAGGGGATGATGGATTTGAATATGACAAAGAAGTTGACTTTGGTGATACAGGAAAAATTGAATCTGGATGGGACGAAGACGATGACTACTCTGATCCTGAATTTTAAAACATGGACTGATGTAACTGTTGACTTATTGAGTATATTTAGGCAAGTTTAGTTGGATCTGAAAGATAAGAAAAGCTTCAAAACTTATTGTTGGAGCAGAATCATTGATTCAGAGTTTATGAATTCCTTCTGTTGGGCTTCCTGTCCCCTCTTCAACACAGGGAACCCAATAAACCATAGGGTACCCAAGCTGGAGAATAGGTTGCTATTTCCTGAAAGTCTTATGAATTTCTCATAAATCTGGATCATTGTACTAATAACTTATTGACCAATGACTATGCTGGGGTTGATAATAATAGTATTAACTGTGATTTTATAACAATGCTATGTATAATAATAATAGTTGATTTTTTTTAAGCTTTGAAATATTATAAACAACATTCATATAAAGATTTTATTAATAAAGGTATTTGGAAGTTGCATGTTTTAAACTGGAATTAAATGGGGTTGCTTTGAGTTAAGAGTTCAATAAATTATGAGGAAAAAGTGAATGCACATTCATAGGGTTCATTGTCCCACATTTGTCTCCTCCCACAAACACAAATGTCTCTTCTAGAAGTGAAATCCCTAGCATATTATGCCATAGCTGCCATTTTTGGACATAGATAAAAAACTAGTGATAAACTAGTGTGAGCTGTGTCAGTGTTTCTAAAGAAACAGTTGTGTGAAAAGATAAATTTAACACTGTAAAAAGTGTTAAATTTATCTTTTTACACAACAATTTTTCTCGTGATTTTGGTCATGTGGTTGCAGCTCAAGTATAATTCTAATGTTTTTCTTTCTTGGGTGAGTTGTCCTTATTTCTTCTGGTTAATGTGACCTAAATAAATAAAAAAGATTGCCATTACAAAGGCAAAATTTCTACCAGTTTTTACTGTCAATATACCACACTTCAAAAAGCAGGTTTGACAGCTTTGTCTGGCTAGTACCAGTCCTCGATTAACCACTACCAGCCAAAATCACTCAACAGGATAATCACGCCACATGTTATAATGGCTATTCAATTAAGTTCTTTGGCCCCAGACGATTAATATACAGTACTATATTCCCTTATAATGGGCTGTCAAGATGAACCAATAGGAAGGCTTCTGTTGCATGTAATCAAAG